GTTGTGTTCTTACTTGCAAAAGGTTTTGGGATTCTTTTGATATAAAAATCAAGATTGAATTTGGATTATATATAATATAATGATTGATACACACTTTATTTCAATACATTACAAAACACATTTATTAAAAAATTATTATTTTTTATTCTGAAATTAAAGGTAAACAAATTTAAAAATAAAACTATACATATGGGATGTAAAAATTGACTGAATTAGTTATACTTATATTATATTTTAATAACTGAATCAAAATAAGTATAAAAAAAATTGAATTAAATGCATACCAATTATTTTATATTTGTGTATTATGAGTATTTTAATCTTGTGAAACTCCCTCTCTCTTTTTTTTTTTTAATCTTAGAACTTAAAAAAAAAAATAAAAAATCCATCGGTTGTTTGTAGGTGGAGAGAAATATATGTTAGTATAATTTTTATTTTGTTTGTGAAGAAAAATTGCATTATTGAGATTATAACTACCTATACCCTAATACTTGGTAATACTTCATAATAATTAAATAATTATTTTGATTTAGAAATAATTTAACCAACTTACAACCAATTGACTAGAAATTATTGAAAAGACTCCATTTAATTATAAGGGTGGAAGAAATATCTTAATTAACAAATGTGGGATTTTTTGTTTTGTTTTTTTCTTTTTTTCTTTTTTTTTTTTCTTTTTTTTTTTTTTTTTTTTTTTTTTTTGTCCAAGAACCGTCTGGGGTGCTTGGCAACCCATATGGGATCTTGTCACTACTTAATTATCAACTCTAAATTAAAGGCTTCAATCCTACAATGTATCTACCATAAATCAAACTAAACTTAAAAACATTTTGAGCTTCATCCCTACTACATATATACCATAAATATTTAATCAGTCTAAATTTCAGTTGTGTACCTTGATCAAGGAATCGAAGTAAATTAGCATTAATTAAGTACGGCACACATCCAAAAGTACGGTCATTTTCCCTTTTGGGGAAAACTCTAAAAATCTGTGACTAATAATTAGAGTTGTTAGTAAGTAAACTAGTTTATAGGTAATTCGTAAACTATTGGAGTCAAACTTAACTTGAACTCGACTTGCTAATTAAGTTGAGTTTGAGTTTAATATCAGTTTAATAAAACAATGAAGTTTGAGCTCAGGTTCACATACTTACTTAGTGAGTACTCAATTTAAAAATAAAAATTATATTACATATAAATATTACAATTTAAATATATAATAACTTATACACTTAACAAAGTTGAAATGTAATTTAAATAAATTACATATTTTGAGTTTTTTAGAACAACTAATAAAATATTCAAACAGAGTCTAAGGCTTTTTTACTATTGCACTTAATATAATTCTCTTACTTAAGTTTCTAACATTACAATATTTCTAAAAAAGTAGAAAAGTTTATGGTTAAATGATTGGTTATTGAAACAATTTAAAATTATAGAAAAAGAAAAAGAAGAAGCTTGAATTCAAACCCAAGTACCGACGAAACTTGAGTACTCACACTCATGATTAAACTCATGGGCAAGCTCAAACTTAATTGAATACTCACAAGTTTGAGCACGAGTTCAACTATTTTAAGCTTGATAAATACTAGTGCTCAAAGTTTTTAAGATAAACTCAAGTATGAGTATCTAAATACTCAACTCAATTTGTTAACAACCCTACCCATATTGATGTTAATTAAAAGCTTAATTAGGGATTCTAAAACAGAATGAATAATGCAATGTAAAATTAAAATTGTTCAAAGGATGATTACAATGTTAGAGCAATGAAATAAAAGTTACTTAAAACCTTGAAGAGGAATCCAATGAAGTACATGACGATGTGGGACAATATATTTTAATTTAGCAGTACAAGTGGGGAATACCAAAAACCAATTAAAGCAAGATTATCAAATAAAGCTGAGCTGATCAGCAACCACAAAAACAAATGTAACATTTGCAATGCAATATAATGGTCTTCGCATATACATAAAACTGGAGAATATATATGTAGACGACGTTGTTCATATATATTACAAACTTGTACTTGACCTAAGATAAGGAACATTTATAAAGGAAGAAAAACAACTTACCTTCTTCAACGTTCTCCCAAATTTTCTTTCTTGCTTCATTTCCCCCACTTAATTTGATTCTGATATGAACGATAAACACACGGTGCTATCGCTACCTAGCTATCGATCAAGTTCCGATATAGAGCTGCAAACTCACGGAATTTATTTAAGATCTGCAATAAGCAAACAATCAGAAAATGTTCATCTATATTCTATATGTTAAGCATTTTTGCATAATAAAATTTGTCTGATTATTCATTGTGGGGTTAACACTTTTATAATGCAGACAAAAGGTGATCTGATTCAGGTACAATATTACACATAAACATATAGACATTATCAGAATAATTAAGGGAGGGGACATTCACAAATGGGAAATATTTTATAAAAATAAATAAATAATTGTCTCTATAATATAAGACCCCAGAGAATGATGAACAAAAAGATATTTAGTATTTCTTAGATTATGTACGTATATAGGATCTTAGTGCTAGCCCGTGGTCATCTTCCCCTACAAAAAAACAAAGAGTATGAATAATCATTTTTGGTTTACATTATTATCCTTAATCAGATCTTCAATCATCATGTATTTCTCTCTAGATTACGAAAACGATGTGATTATTATTATAATTATTATTTTCACACTAATAATTACTATTAATTATCATTACGGAATGCTTTATATATATAATGGTCTTTCATGGCGGGCACAAGATGCTAATATGTAACATTTCATGTTCCTAATAACCTTAAGCTATAGTAAATAAATACTGTGATTGGTCTTGTTTTTCCGAAGAAAAGTTCATGTTCCCAAAATTAGGGTTTTTTCAACCATTTCTACTAGGGTTTATAACCTCAAGATTAATTTTTACCCCAATACATATAAACCTAATAATCAAACTGTCCATATTTGCAAGAAGAAAAAAATATACCATTCTTCATCAAAAGGAAGATATATAGTTACCGTTTTCTAGGAAAATCATGGGGAAAATCAAGGTTGCTGCATAGTACTAAAGTTGGAGGTATGATCTTCATTGGACTTGGCTGGAATATTTCTCTTCTTTTTCTTCTTCTTGTAAGGAATTCCCCTTGCTTTGGCTTGTGAATCCCTCACTTCCCTTAAGTAAATCCGTATCGCGCCGCTGGCGAACGGATTAGTCTCCGGTAAGCCACCATTTTCTTCGTAGGCAGCTCTGAGCCGCCCGATTAGTGCATCTAGGCTGCCCCAAGCTTGCTTCAGAGGACATGTGCAGGGTCCTGGGGGCTCCGGTTGCCCAAAGAAGACGCACCCTTGTAAGTGCACCTTAGTCTTGCCGAATTGATCCAGGTACCTCAGAAATTCAAGCACATGATTGGAGTTACACTGAGAAAGAGCCACTGGAGGTCGCTGATTCCTCAAGTACTGCCCAAAAGTGTTCCAGTCCCGTCGCTTCTGCGACTCATACCGGCTCAACGGCGGTGGATTATTCTGCTGATTATCAGCGGCAACAGTTGATCTTGATGACCCTTCTGCTATTTCTTTCCCTTTGTTGATAGACATCATTGCTACATGGGAGGAAAGAATCTTTGAAGGAGAGAAAGAAAGAAAGAAGAAGAGAGAATTCCACAGTAGGAAAAGAGGATTTTGTCTGAAATATCACAGTTTATTACTGTATATCAAACGCGTATAACGAGTCAATAAGATTTTAACACGTAAGTAGAAACAGTGAAGTTAATTAATCCCATTAATAATATAGACTCAACTAAAATTTAACCATTGTTAAGAATTGAATTAACATTTTTCATTATATATCTAATAAGATGAAACTATGATATAAAAACTTTTCAAAAAAAAATCAAGGTTAAAAAAAAAATGATCAACATCATGGGCCTAAATGAAGGGACAAGAATGGGACCTATGAAAGTGCTTTGGTCCTTCTTTTTCTTCCTATCACATTATTTTCTTCCTTTAATTGTACTATTAGCATTAAATATATGCTTTTTCTTTTATAAATTTTAAACAATGCTTCCATCATCCAAGCAATCATTATTGAGAAAATTTAGCTTAATTTTAAGCAGAGCTTGAAATTTTCTGACCAAGTTCACTGTGCAAATATAAGCCTACTTCAAAACGCAATTTCCGATTTTGGAACCAAAAATTGACAGAAGCATTGCATCTTAAATCTAAGAGTAGGATTACACAATAAGACGATGACATCAATAATCAATTAATAATTATTATCATGTTCTTCTTTCTACCCACCATCCCTTTCTCCGTCACATTTGGTAAGATAAGAAACTTTTTCATAATGTTCTAACTTTGTTTAACAAAGCTGTTTTACTCTTATTTGAAAAAGAAATAACTGGTGGAGTAGTGATCTGTTATGGCATATCCAGGCTTTACCAAATCAGAGCTCACTCGCATCTTCTAAAAACTTCAAATACAAAGAGAAAAAGAAATTCCTAATTCTTTAAGAGAAGAGAGGGCAAATGCATTTTTGAATTCAGGTAATTGAAGTACCATCTCCATCTTAAAGCAAGCTCGGGCAGTTGTTTGGTTTACTGTTTTGTGGTCCTTGTGGTTATGGCGGAACAAAAAAAATTTACAGGAAGATGCAGATTCATTGGAAAAGGGTTCTGGAGTTAATCAAATGTAGATCATTCTTTCGGGTTAGAGCTAATAACATTCCGACTTAGATCGTGATTTATGGCTTATGTCGGCAATGGAAGCGTGTTGGGGCCAGCAGATCTGATTTTGCAGGTTCTAATTAGCGATTACACAGTAATGATCGGAATTATGAGCTGATATAAAATGGATCTTTTTCTATTAAACTTTTTCTATTGAATGGGTTTAAACTACTGCTTGTACATTTTATTATTAATGTTTTAATTTTGTTTTGCTGATAAAAGAAATGTATAGCTAATGCCGGTAGTATTAGTGGGTGATTATGCATGTCTCGCCCGTGTACAATTCCGTTGAATTTGTTCTTATTGCTACTTGGGTATAGATGGTCTTTAGCTGTATCCAATTGAAGATGATGTCCACAATCGCATAACTAGTGTAAGTTTATGTCCTTGTGGGTTTTTCCCATTGAAATTATAAAAGAACAAAAGGCAACACTAGATGAGAAAATTGAGACTGAGAAATCTCTTTGGTACAATTTATAAAGTAAGCCATGTATAGCAGCATTTGGAAATGGAATAGATGGTTCAAGGTCATGCTGACACTTGTACTTCTTTTGATATCCCAAAACATGATGTGTACTTCTCTATATTTAAATTGTGTTGCCCTTTTTTTTTTTTTTGTGAAAAAATTGTGGTGCCTTTGATATCTGAAATGAAGACCAATTAAGTACTACTAAATAAAAATATCACTCCTTTTGTCATAAAAAATCTGTTTTTTTTTTTAATTTAAAATTTATTTAAAATTAATTATTATTTTTTATTTTTTTAAGTAAATAAATATTTTTTTCCTTTTTCTTAAGACTATTATTATTACTTAACATTAGTACTTGTTCACATATCACCAAAATTCTCTTTATCTTTATTTTTTTTAGAGGTAAAATAGATTAAAAAAATAATTTACTGTTCAAAAAAGCAATAAAAGCAATATTTTTACTGTTCAAAAAAGATAAAAAAATATAATTTGTTTATAAATTTTTAATCTGTAAAAAAATGAAATTATTATGAGAGGAAAGAACATTTAACAATATTTCATATGCTTAATTCAGCATAGAGTATGTCATTCAAAGTTCCAATTTTTTTTTCCATTAACAACATCCAAATTTATTGTTAAATCCCTAATTTAATTAGTGTGAATGATTTGTGTTTAACTGAAGAGCATGCTTTTTTTTGTCAATATGCAAAATAATGACCATTAATTTGGATTAAAAGACCACACATTTAGGTTTGTTTGGTTAGAGGGCTAAATTTATTAGAAAGTTTTATCGAAAAAGTAATTACAAAAGTACTATATAAAAAGTTCATAAATTTTATAGTAAAATTTTGTTAAAATTTTGTTAAGTTGTTAATTTTTTGTGTTGGTAAGAAATTTGTATAAAAAAAGTTGGTAGAGAATTGTTAAATGGATCCTTTATAGAGAAAATTGGAAATAAACTTTTTCTTTCAAAAAGTATAAAAAGAAAAATTTACAGATTAATAATTGTCTTAAAACAAATAGAAACTAAAGATATCACTTTTATTCTTCTTTTATTGTAGGGTTAATGTGTAAAAATATAAAAATAATTTAAAAATTTTTTTAAAAAAAGTAACTTGACAACCAAACAGCAAGAAATTATTGTCCCCCATCAATAATTATAATTGTGTTGTCTACACTAATGCAAACTGAATAATACTTCTCTGTTAACTGAATCAGTATTTTAGGTCAAAATCTTAACTGCCTTCGGAGAAAACTAGTCTTTTTCACTCCTCCTACTCCTAATATTCAACAGTTTGATTTTGACTCTAATACCTGACTGGGTAGGCATATAATTAAAGAACTGGTAGGTGCTCGAAGATCTCTCTTTCATTAAAGTATATAAACGGAGAGATCATTTAACAGCTAATTCAATTCCCAAATTATGAATGCCCATCACTGACAAATCAAATCTCAGCCAGGACAGCCACGTTTCGGCACGGCGATTGGCCCCTTCCCAGTGGCAGAGGGACTGCCCTGTAACCCTAAAAATTTCTCTTGAAATGGTAGTGATTTCACTAGTAGTATAGATGTCACTAGTACCATCAAGACGACTAGTGGTTCAATTAGTGATCATGTTTTTGTTGTCTTCTTTCAGCTAAGTTTCCTTCATTAATTTGTTTTCTTGACATTTGGATTTGGATTTTTATCAGAAACATCCATACAGTGCGTTGGGTATCAGAAATGCCCCCTTTCAATCTGTTTCAAAGAATTCTAGTAAGATGTCACTTTCCTTTTGAGTGGGGGCATGCATGCAGTGCTGGGCCTTAGTGTAAAAAGATAAGGCCCATTTTATCAATTCTCTTCTTCTGGGCTCAGCTAATGGGGTGCCCTTGTCTACTTTTAGAATTATGGACATTAGGTTATACTCCCAAATGTGTGTATACAACAAAAGTTTAAGAATTGAAAATGTGTAATAATATTAGTTTAGATATAAAAATGTGTATAAAATAAAAGTTAAGACACCAAAAAATACCATTTGTACATACTTGAAAGGCAAATTTAATTGATGTAAGGACAAAAACAAAAGCATTTTTAATAATTAAGGGACAAAAAAGATGTAAAAAGTATTTTAGATATATATTAAAATTATTTAAATTTAGAAATTCAAAAACTAAATTTGTTATTTAACCCAGATATAAAATGCTTTGTTTCAATTATGCCTTTATTAACTCTTACCGAAAGACTCAAAGAGAGCTTCTCAATTAAAAAAAAAAAAGATTCTAGGGAAAATAAAAAATTAAACCCATAATAATGTTTCTTAAAATTTTCTTTAATTTGTACCAAATATATATATATATATATATATACACTTCACAAGATTACCATATGACTGAGGAGTATGGTTGGGTTGTAAGGCCTAAGTGCAATATTTTAAAACACTTTAACTAAATATAAACATATAAAATTAATTAAATTACATACCCTCATAATATTTTGTATAGCTTTAAGCTTCTATTCTGTATCAATCAGCATGGCCCTCATTCAGCCCATACACAACTGCCATTACCATATATAGTTATTGCTGTCCTTTCCACAAGATTAGACATGTTTTAGGGGCACGTGACATGTCTCCTACAATTTCTTCAATCTTCCATTTGGATATTAATTGTAGATTAATTATTTCTCATTAATTTCAATTAATTTGATTGGAAAACTTTCTCTTTTTTAGGGTACATGAAAACTTTCTCTTTTTTAGGGTACATGAAAACTTTCTCTTTTTTTGGGTACATGAAAACTTTCTCTTTTGCCACTCCCATAGATTAGGCTGCCTCTTTTTTTTTTACTTTTTTCAGTTTAGTTCACACACACACACACACACACATATATATAAAGAAAAAAAAAAAAAAAAAAGATTAGGCTGCCTCTTCGTGTTAGTTTTGGTCCCTTTGCTTCATGGTTCTCTCTCACTCTCTCTCTCTCTCTTTTTCTCTTTTTTTTGGGCTAAATTTAATTTTTCTACTAACTATTATTCTCTTTATATTTTAATCTAAAAAGTTTAGTTTATTTCAAATTCATCTATAAACTCTGAAAATCATTTCAAATTCATCTATCCAATAAATTTCCGTTAGTTTTTTTAACAAAATTTTATTGCACCAATCAGCACTTACATAGCATATGCAATTTTGAAAATTTATACTTTAATCCCAAGAACTTCACAAAATTTCCAATTAAATTTTATATGTAAGCCACTTCACAATCCAATTTAGTCAACTAAGTCCTTAAAAGGACTAAATAATAAAAACTAATGATAAATAATTAAGATTGTAAACTTAATTTTTTAATTAATCAAGATTATAATATTATTTTTATCAAATTAAAATTAAAAAAATCTTTTATATGTAAAAATTTTAAGAACATATTCTCTCTATCCTAAAATAATAAACATTTTTAATTTATCTTTAAATTAAGGATTTAGAAACAATTTCTATTATTATATATTTTA